AGGAAGGAAAGAAAAGAGAAGGAGGAAGGAAGGAAAGGAGAGAGGGAAGGAAGAAGGGAGGGAGGAAGGAGGAAGGAAAGAAAGGAGAGGGAGGGAATGGAGGAAGGAAAGAAGGAGAAAGGGAAGGAGGGAAGGAAAGAAAGGAGAGGGAAGGAAGAAGAAAGAGAAAGAAGAAGGAGGGAGGGAGGGAGGAAGGAAGGAGTAAGGGAGGAAGCAAAAGAGGTGAAAGGGAAGGAAGGAAGAAAGGAAGGAGGAAGGAAAGAAGGATAAAGGGAAGGAAGGAAAGAAAGGAGGGAAGGAAGCAAGGAAAGAAAGAGAGGGAGAGAAGAAGGAAAGCAAAGGAAGAAAGGAGGGAAGGAGGAAGGAAAGAAGGTGAAAGGGAAGGAAGGAAGGAAAGAAGGAGAGAGGGAAGAAGGAAGGAAGGAAAGGAGGAGAGGGGCAGAAGGAGGGAGGGAGAGAGAAGACATTCACCTGGGTCATTCCACTGTTGTTCAGTTATCTCTCCCATTGACTTCCATAAAGCCCCCAGTTCCTGGGACCTTGATTTTGAGCTGGATGGGCTCCTTCCCAAAACCCTTCAGAGCTCCCCTGTCCCGCTGCCCGCTGTGCGTGGGTGTGATGGGAGACACTGACCCCTTGCCTTCTGTTGCCCAGTCACCGAGGTGCTGCAGCTCAGCGACGCCCTCCGGGACGACGTCCTCCCCGAGCTTGGAGTGCGGCTGGAGGACCATGAAGGTGACTTGGGCATCTTGGGGTCTGTTTCTAGAGTCAAATCCAAGTAGCTTAGAGCAGGGGAAAAGACCTTGGTGGGAATTCTGTGCAGCTGATTACCAAAGGAAGATGGGAAATGTTTCTAGGGTGGATGTCTGGGCTTCTCTCTCTGGTCTCTGAGGTTAGCCCCCAGTGTCTGGGAGTCTGCTTTCACCTCTTGGACCCTTCACTTCGGGGCTTTGGGGGGGGGGGTGGCGAGGAGAGGAGAGGAGGGTGGAGGAGCACTGAAGCTGCTGTCCAGTCCAGTTGCTCTGGTGACCAAATGACTTGCTTTGCAGGCCTTCCGACTGTGCTCAAACTGGTGGACAGAGACACCTTATTAAAGGAGAGAGAAGAAAAAAAAAAGGTTTGTTTCTGTAAAACCTTGAACTGAGAGGAGAAGGAAGCCTTGACTTTAGGCTGTTTTCTGTTTGAAGACATTGAACGGTGGTGGTTTTATATGGGAGGAAGGGGCTGTGGAAGGAGGGGGACCCAGAAATGGTCTTTGGAGCGAAGTGAGTTCAGTAAGGCCGCTGGGCAGGTCTGCGGGATGAGAGGCCATGGGGGCAGGGTGGGGCCTGTCCAGAAACCAGCCCCACTGGCCCCGAGGTCAAATGAAGGGCAAATAACTAGAGTTAATTGGCCAGTGTGAAGTGCGTAGCTCTTGGTGAGCGTGATTCAGGACTCTTGAGTGACGGACAGCACAGAAGGCTGTGTCCTTTAAACCCCCTTGGCCAGGCTGGCTGCCGAGGAGGACGGTCTGTCCCATCCTGACCGGCTCCATCAGTGCGGTGCGAAGTAACATCTCCCAGCAGCGCTGCCATTCTCTGTGGCCTCACCCACAGAACATCGTGGGTGTCCAAGAAGGTGGGATGTTCGCGGAAAGCCCAGATTTTCAGGGACCATTTGATGCCCCCTTCCTGGGGCTGTGCTAGGAGCCTCGCTCCTGCCCTCCCCCACCTACTTCTCAAATGCTGCCCAATGAATGAACGCTTCTGCGAGCTGGACTTGGAGAGCCTGTTTGACCCCGGGCAGGCTGCTTGCAGTTGCCGGCGGGTGTGAGGCCTTTGAGGTTCAGACGTGGGGGACACGTGTCAGGCAGATAATGGGGTGATTGCTTTTGCATTGCCCAATTCCAGTCTCAGTGATGTCAGTTGAATACAGAGAGGGCCTGAGGCTGCTCTCCCCTCCTGCCCACTGACCTGACTAGCCTCCTAGCTGGCCAGTGTTGCCAGACCTCACCCAGGGTCACACCCAGTCTCCCACACCCCAACCCAGATCACGGAGTCAGCCTGTGGGGCCGCCCCTCACTGCCACTATCCTGGCCAAAGTCACTGCATCCTCTGGCTTTTCTAGAGTTGGGCAGTGACGAGGATGTCCTCGTGGCTGCCGCTTTTCAGAACCTCACCATCGTCTCTGACTGCTCCTGCACTGACCAGGTTCCAAGTCCTCTGGGCTCTCTGTCCTAATAGCGCTCAATCCATCCTTGCCCATCTTCTGCTGTTGCCACGGCAGCCTTATCGCAAGGATTGTTGCTCAAAGATTCCTGGGAGCCATAGCACTCCAAGGGGCAACAGAAAACCAGCTGGTCCAGCCCTCTTCTGTTACACAGGAAGAAATTGAGGACCAGAGAGGGGCTGGGATAGACACAGACCCAGCTGTGGCTGGCCCGGTTCTTTCCATGGGCCCACCTGCATCATCATTGGTCAGGCTTCCTCAGTCTCCCCTTTCTTTAGGACCCTGGCCTCCTTAGAACCTCCCTTTGCTTGTGGTCCCTAGGCAGATTGTGTAGAGGGGAAGAGGCAAAGACCCTGGGTTCAGATCCTACCTCTGACACTGACTGCCAGTGAGACCTGGGGCAGGTCATTTCCGTGAGCTTCGTTCCGTCATCTGGAAATGAGGGAATTTGACCCAATGGCCTCTAAGTTCCCTTTTAGCTCCAGGACAAAGGTCCTGTGATTTACTTCTGCTTCTGCTCCTTTATTCATTCTGGGCCCCTGCTCCCCGTCTCTGTCTCCCCCCTCTCTTCCTCTCTCTCTCTTTCTCCTCCTTCTCCTCTCCCCGCTCTCTTCCTCTCTCTCTCTCTTTCTCCTCCTTCTCCTCTCCTCCCTTCTCTGTCTCTGGCTCTCTCTGTCTCTGTCTCTTTCTCCCCCTCTTCCCCTCTCTGCCTCCCCTCTCTCTCTTCCCCTTCTTTCTCTTTCTTCTTCCCTCCCTCCCTGCCCCGCCCTTGTCATACACAGAGTTCCAAGGGTAGCTACTGTTTTAATGTTTTTGCTGGTTAATCAAAGCTGTTTTCTTCACAGTAGCAGAGAAGGGATGCTTAGCAAGCAGCCAGCTTTGGTTCAGGTGGCTGTGACTCCTGATTCCAGCCCCAGGCCCCGGGGTGGGACACACACCTCATTGATAGGGACAGTTTCCTCCATGAGCTGTGGGAGGACGTCCCCAGCCTGCTCTGGCTGGCTCCTGGTCTTGCAGAGCACTGACTGGAAGTCACTCATTCTAGAGAGCGAGACTGTGACCGGGCCTGGGAAAAGCTTTCCCCTAGACACTTTCTCTAGAACGTGCTGAAGGTGAAGCCTCAGGGAGGCGGGAGGGCTTTAGGGGCCCAGGGCAGCCTCCACTCCATTGGCCTCTGCTCCCCCGGTGTCCCGGAGCAGGAGACGTTCCTAGGGCACCCTCTCCTCTCCTCCCTCTTCTGTCTCCAGGCAAGGCTGGGAATTGGCAGCGGGACATTTTCATGAGTCATTTTGCTGCTCTTTTAAGTCCCATAGTGAAGCTTCTGCTCAGGGAGCATTTAGCGTTGGCAATAGATGGGATCTCATGACAACAGAATGTGTTGTTCGGAAACATCCCAGCGCTCTGGCCGAAGGCCAGCAATGGCCCCTCCTCTCCCTGCTGCCCACTGGGAAGTAAGGGGATGCTCAGGACTAGGGGGGAGCCCACACAGAGGCCTTCCTCCAGGCCAGGGCTGCCCTTGCTCCCAGGGAGGGGCTCAGGTGCCCAGTACTGGTGCCCTCCTGCTGACTAGTGGGGCAGAGGCCAGCCTGCCTTCCCTTTCTGGGGGAAACTCACTAAGGCCTCACAGCTGCAAACTCTGAGCTCCCCCACCCATGCCACTTGCCTGTGACCCCACGACACAATAATGTGACTCTTCACTGTATCCCTCCAGGCTGAAGAAGAGAAAAAGAAGAAGAAAGAAGACGCTGCTCGGAAGAAGCAGGAGCAGGAAGTAAGTTGTCCCAGTGAAATGACGCCACGGGGTGAGTGGGCAGAAAGGCCCCAAGCACTGGTGCAGGCCACCTGCTGTGACCTCGGGGCTCTCGGGGCTTCTCCTGCTGCCAGTGCTCAGGCCCACTTCCCTGGGAGCAGCTTGAGGGTTCTGGAGGCCCTTTGACTTTGCTGGGGTGTTTTGTCAGCATTCTATGATCACCACGGCTCTTGGCTTAACTGTCACGGAGACCCTGGAACTCTGTTGTTGGCAGTGACTCGTGTCTGTGTGTTACAGGCGGCCAAACTCGAAAAGATGAAGATTCCACCAAGCAAAATGTTTCTGTCAGAAAATGATAAGTACTCCAAGTTCGATGAAAATGTAAGGAGTCTTTTTATCTCTACTAAATGGCCATGACTGGTATCATTAAGTTTAGGGAGGTTAAGATAGCCAGCAAAGTTTTTGTTATAAGGAAGAAGGCTATAGTTTCCTGGGTATTTTCTCTGCACTCTTCTCCCACTACCCATTTCCCTGCTAGAGCAGCCAGAAGAGCCCAGTTCCTGGTCCCTGGAGCCAGGGCTCTCCCACACATCCACTTCCCTGCCAAGTGTCAGGCCCACCCTCCTCCTCTGGGCCTGAATAGAGCCGGCCTCGTGTGGAGCTGTATCTAGTGCTTCCTCATCAGGCTTCTCAGTGAACATGGTAGGCTGACCCAGTAACAGTAGCCCAGATAAATGCATCTCCCATCTTCATGAGGAAAATTTTTATTGCAGTAATATGGTCTCCCATTTCAAATTACATTCAGCCTTCAGACTCTGCCATGTTGGTTCCTTTATCTATTCATAGCTTTCTAGCCAGTTTGATAGAAATGAAAAAATGCGTAGCGCTTGACTCCTTCCCTACTCCCAGCACCTATTTTCCTAGAAGAAGGTCTACTATCTGGACTTTGATGAGAAGAGACATGGACCGTTGCTTTTTCTTTTATAAATGAGGGGAGAAAAGCTCAGGCAGGTAAGGTATGAGAGAGGCACCATGGAACAGTGGCTAGAGAGCTGGCCTTGGAGTCAAGAAGCCCGAGGTTCATTTCCCACCTCTGCCACATACTGGCAAGCCATTGAATCTCTCAGAAACTCTGGCAACTCACTAAGATTCTTAAGTTGCAGAGGAAGTGTTGACTTGCATTGTTAGAAGGGGCTTCTTCATCGGGAGTTCCCTAAACTGATGAAATTACAAGTCTGATCCCCAAAAAGTAGACATCTGAGGCTTTGTTGGTTGTTGGTTGTAGATTCCTAGAATGTCAGAGTTACCAGCCAAGAACTGGCCTCATCCACGTCCCCGTCTCAGTAAATGGTGTTGCCTTTACATCCATCCTTGCTGTGAGACACCTGGGCAGAAAGAGGGAAATGGTGTATTGGAAGTTACCTAACTATGGGGAAAACATTCTGAAAGCAGTGCGCTCTTAATGTTGCAGGGATTTCCCACACATGATGCAGAGGGCAAAGAACTCAGCAAAGGACAAACAAAGAAGCTAAAGAAACTTTTTGAAGGTCAGGACAAACTCCATAGAGAGTATTTACAGCTGGTTCAAAATGGCAGCTTAAAATGAGAAGAGAAGGCAGACGGATTTTCTTGAAGTCATCCAAGGTGAAGGAGTGATTCTTCTGTGCCTGCCGACAGCCATCCAGACTGCCTCCTCAAGCACTTGTTGTGTTGACCGTTTCTCTGGCGTCCCAGACTGAGGGTTTGGATGGTGCAGATGGCCATCATGCATTGTCCACTTTAGAATTTTGGAAATTAAATGGCCCGAAGGACCTTGAAGCCGAGCCAGCTTTCCTCTCCCACGTTGCCTGTGCGGCGCTCCCAGATGGTGATGCTCGGTCAGCAGCTGCCAGATGAGGGGCCCCCTCAGTGTGATGGCTTCAGCCGACTGAGAAAACTGTCTCCCATGCTGATTGTTATCCAGCTAATCTCAGCTGTGGTCTGAGGGCATCGGCCTGAGAGATGTTAGGAGGTGAATAAAATGTCCAACAATTGTATAGCAGAACCCACTGAGAGACCCTAAACAAAGGTTTGCCTTTTCAGTCATAACGAATAAATCCTTCACCAGTTCCGTTGTGTTTCCAGTTGACAATTACACTTAGGACCAGGCAGCAAGGGAAGTGATAACTCAGCACAGTGCTGTCAGCCAGGAGCCAGAGGGTGTTAAGGCAAGTGCTGTGTTTACTATCAGGACATCAGACCTGCCCGCTGGGGCCCCGAGTCCTCTTTAAAGATTCCCTGAGTCATACTGCTTCACTTTTGTCCTAAGGTGCTTTGAAAGGATCGTACGCACCATTGGCTCCTCCCTCCCGTGTAGGTGCCAGACTTCTGGGAATGAGCCTCTCCAGTCCCACACCTCTGTGACAGCAAAGTACAGTGAGCCCAAAGAGAAGGGACTTTCCTAAATTCATGCAGCTATTAAGCGGTTGAGCCAGGATTCCAGTCCAGGTCCTCTGACACCTCTAAATCCCATGCTCTCCTCACACAGCTGGACTGGTCTGCAAACAACAGATAGCTAGGCTCTTTGTGTCCAGGCCCATACTCAGGCTGCCTGACTAAATAACATCTTAGAAGCTTGCATTCGCTGGCATAATAACTCATCTTCACAGCAGTTTTTAGTTGGGGGCAGCCATTACATGTCAGGAAAGACAGTGATTAATTGGAGAGGATACAGAGGAGGCAACCAGAATGGTGAAAGGCCCTGAGTCCATATCATATGAGGATCACTGGAAGGAATGGGACAGATTTAGCCTAGAGAAGAGAAGACTCGGGAACATAATAGCTATGTTCAAGTATTTGAAAGGCTGTTCTGTGGAAGAGGGATTAGATTTTTATTCTGTTGGTTCCCAGAAGGCAGAACCAGGAACAGGGTGGGTAGGTTGCCAAGATGTACATTTAATCTTGATAAAACAGAAAACTTCGTAACAATTCAAGCTACTTAGTAGCTTCACGAGATGTGCTTTCTGCCTCTTTGGAGGTCTTTAGACAAAAGTTAGAAGCCCACCTGTCAGGGATGTTTATAGAGGGGACCATTCAAATCAATTAAGAAGTGTTAAACACCTCCTACTTACTAGCCCTATGCTGGGCTTTTCCTATCCTTAAGGAACTTATGTTCTATGGGGGGGAGACAACATGTGGATGTATGTACAAAATAAATATGCCGAATATATACAAACTAGATACAAAATGGCAGAGGGAGGTGAGAATCCAGAAAGGCTCCCCATAAAAAGTGACACAAGCTGAGTTTTGAAGGAAACCAGATGTTCTAGGAGGTGAGAGGGAGGAGGGAGAGAATTCCGGGCGTGAGAGACAGCCAGTGAGTGCAAAGGCCTGGAGCCAGACAATGGATTGTGTGAGGGGCAGCTGAACCGAAGAATGCCTGAGGGGCTGGCAGGCGAGCAAGCCTGGAAAGATAGGTTGGTCTTGGAAAGGACTTGAATAACTCATGCGCTAGTGCCGAGCTGCTGAGGCCTCTTCCATCCCGGATTCACAAAAGATTTTCTTTACCCTACGACCTGTGAGGAAGTAAGTACAGGGATCTCAAAAAGAGGCTGCAAGAGGGTCAAGTACTTGTCCACAGTCACTCAGCATCTGTGCTGAGCCTTCCCCCCCTCCCCCGCCTCCCTGCACTCCCAGGCCAGCGTTCTGTCTTCTCCAACAGAACTTCTCGAACTTGTGGGTCTCGGGAAATCTTTATCCCCTTAAAAATTAGTGAGGAGCCCCTCCCAAAGAACTTTGGTTTATGTAGGCTATCTCTATTGATGTTTACCATGTTCGGGAGTAAAACTTTTTACTATTATTTTGGAAAGAGTTTTGACTTTGCTGACCCCCTGAAAGGTTCTCAGGGACTCCCACAAGTCCCTAGGAGGCAGCTAGGTGGCATAGGGGATAGAGTGCTTTTCCTGGAGTCAGGGAGACCTGAGTCCAAATCCAGCCTGAGAAACTCACTAGCTGTGTGATGCTGGGAAAGTCACTTCACCTCTGTTTGCCTCAGTTTCCTCATCTGTAAAATGGGAATAATAATAATAGCACCTACTTCTCAGGGTTCTTGTGAAAATCAAATGAGATGATAATAATGAAGCAAGTAGCACAGTGCCTGGTGTGAAGTAGGCGCTTAACAAATGCATATTTCCTTCCTTCCACCCTTTGAGAATGAGAGCCACTGCCCTATACCATAATGCCTCTCTAGAACCCAAGGTCATCTCCAGGAAATGGTAAAGCAAAACAGAAGAGGACTTTATTATCAAGATTAACAAAGCTGGTGAAGACGTAGAGCGCATCTTGCCTTTTCAATGGGAAGGTGCAAATTCTGAAATGAAGATAAAATCGAATTTAAGAAAAAGATTTAGCGCATAAAGTTGAAAGTACTAAACAATAGACCTTTGAAGAAAGCGTGGCCACCATCTGCTGTGGCCTTGGGCCTGGCGGTCTGAAACGGTTCCACAGCGGGCCCAGACGGAAGCCTCCCGTGGGGTGTGGCCGGGATTATGGCGCCCGGTCCGAATCTGGACTTCCCCCTCTTCCTCTGTGACCGAAGGGCTACGTCCCTTCCCTTGTCTGGGCTCAGCCTACTCTAGGCAGCCCTGTCCCCCCTAACATAATGCCGTCTTGGTTTGTTACCCTATCCCTAGTTTTGCAGCTTGGGTTAAGTTAATCCTTTTGCTTCCTTTTATCTAGTTAGAGAAACCTCCTCTTGTTTTCTCTCGGTTAAGTTGTCGACTAAGATCCTCCTTCCCCTCCTCCCCTTCAACTTGTTTAAAAAATTGTTTTCTAAAAAGGATTTCTTTTCTTCATTCTCTTATTTAAGTTTTCTTTCTGTCTGTTCTAGGCTTCCCTTCCTTGATTCAGTCTTTATACTTATTCATTCCTTCTTTAGCCTCTATTTTCCTCATGGAATTAAGTTTCACAGGTGCACATTGGGTTTCCCTCTTCACTGTTTCTCAGTTTTTGCCTCATAGCTCTTACCCCAGACCCCTTTTTGTCTCTTGGGCATCATTCGTCCTCTTCCCAGATGGCAACAGAGGAGAAAGTGAGGCTGGTGACTGCATGGCCTTGCCTCACTTAAATCCAACTCCCTTGCAGCTCACAGCATCCCCTCCCTGATGTCATGGTCCTCTTTGAGAACGAAGGACAAACAACCACATCTACGCAGTCTTATGAGTACCCATTCTTGCAGGTGATCAACATATCGTCTGCTCTAGGGATTTCCCTGTCCCTGAATGTGCAGTTGGTGTCCATCCTTTCTCCTCTCCTTGAGCTTTTCTTCCCCGTTTCCCGTGGAATCTCCTCTCTCCATCCATTCCCTCCCACTCTTCCGGAGGTCACTTGCCCCCAGGGGTTCTGATTTCCTTTCTCCTGAGGTCAAAAGGAAGGAAATAAGCATTTATTAAGTGCCTACTAGATGCCAGGCACTGTGCTAAGTGCTTTACATATTAATTTATTTCATTTCAGCCTCACAGCAACCCTATGAGGTAGATACTATTATTATTTCCATTTGACAGTTGAGGAAACTGAGGCAAATGGGTTAAGTGACTGACCAATGTCACCCAGTCTGTAATCGTCTGAGGCTAGATTTGAACTTAGGTCTTCCTGACTCCAGGCCCTGCACGCTGATATCTCATCCTAGGCAGGATGGGTGGTCTCTTTGACCACCAATCCCCAGAAGATGGTAATGACTGTAAGGTGGCCATCTTCATTTATAATCTCTCTCTCTGCTGCCATAACAGTGTTCTTCATTGGGACCCCCTCCCACCACTGAGATAAGGTTTACCCCTCTCTTTCCCCCCACCCCCATTCCAATCCCATTCTTGGCCTCCTTACCCTTTCTCATGTAGACGCTTCTTCCCGAGTGCCTACAGGAGTTGTTGACGTGATTAGAGAACAGCACACGTTGTCTTCTCTCTTCTTCCTCCCTTCTCCCCTATCATGCCCTCCTGCTCTGCAACTCAGTCCTGCAAAAAAAAAGTGATTGCTCTGGGGAGGGGGGCCCTCTAAGTTTGGGCCATGATGTTTCAGGCTTGTTTCTCTACCATCACTTAGATTAGATTTCCACCTTCCCCTCTGTCTCATGTACTTTTAGGAAGAAATCTCTTCATGGTCTCTCATTATTTTGTTATTTGTTGTTAACCCTATAACTGTCTTTCTCTTTTTAGTTTTTTCCTTCTTTTTCTAGGGTAGTTTATTTCATAGTTTTTATTTCATTATCTGCCACGTTGATTGCTGGGTTCATTTATCTTCTTGTAGTTTTGTTATCTTAAGTGTTTGTAAAGCAGATTGTCTGCTCAGCTCTGGTTTTCTTTGTAGAAATGCTTTAAATGCCACTTGAACATCCATCTTTTTTCATGAGTGATTAGCTTAGGGGTTTACAGGGCATGTCGTCCTGGGCTGCGTCCTGGGCTCCCTTGCTCTTCAGAACACGTTACTCCATTCTCTCCTTTGGTTTCCTGTGGGCAAGGAAGACTATTGTGAGGTACCCCACACGGGGCCATGGATTTGAAGTCAGAAAGCAGCAGAGTCAGAAAGGGAATGCTGACTGGCCTGGACCTTTCCACAAGATGAAGGCCCCAGAAAGAACTCAGCAATTGTCCTTTTATACAGAATAACAAGAAGAATGTTTCTACCATATTATACGTGCATCAATATTTACTTTATGTATCTACAAAATTGGATGACAATTATATAAATGCTATTAACGACCAAACATGTAAAAATTGGAGAAACCTTTCTCCTCTTATCTACAAGCGTATATAAAGTATTCTTTGGGCAAGGCAGTGTGCTTAGGGAAGAAATACAAAGGCATGGGCCAAGGGCAAGAAAAGTTTGCAATCTAATAGCAGAGATGAGGCTTGTACATGGATAAAAATAATACTTTTGTTTCACTTGAGGGAGTGAAGCCTCTAAACTCTAGGCCACTGCGTATGTCTTAGATTCCTGGAAAAAATCTAGAATGTGTTCAAGGAATGGCTATTTAATATCTAACAAAGGAGGCACTGCGGAGGCCTTCGTGAAGGGACAGCTCCCACCAGAACTGTTCCCTTTTGTAACAAGGGCACTAGACTGATAGATCTGGGA